CAGAAAGCAATGCCAAGTAACCCAAAATTAGGGCTGATGACAAGGCAGAGCATATGTTTCTGAGAATTGATTTGCTGTTGATAAATACAGTATATATGCACGTAGAGTATGTATGCAATGGTCATTAATAAAGACAAGCAGTTTGTGTTACATGGGGTATAACCTTAGCACCCAGAAGGAACCCAGTAAGAGAAAGGGCTCCCATTATGGCACAAATCATTATATCTATCGAGGTCTACACAGATAAAAACACAATCAATTGCTTTTCTTACTGGAAAGTAACATTTTGTTGTTTTCATTCTCTATGGTCAAGAACAACAATAACCAGACTACCTGCTTTGTAATATGTACTGCTTAGAGAACTCCTGGACATTTTGATTCACAATAGTATATTATTTCCCTCAGGCAGTGCAGGCTTCACATGGTTAGCCCTCAAAGTCCCAATACTGAACTGCTGTGACAAGCTCTCTGATGTAGCACATCTCCATACTCAGCTCAGAACTGCTGCAGGCCTATTTTATTTTCTTTATATTTTATTGATGAACATGAATTATTCAGCTAAAACAACCACTAAAAGCAGACATGAATTTCCTTCTTGTACATTATCACGGCACTGTAAGACAGTAAAGTACAAGGTTATCAGAGTTGCCTTAGGTTAGATCTTGACAGAGGCTTCGAGTTGAATGGGATGTTTTACTTAATAAACATATTTTATTTTTATTTCAAGCTTCTTCGTATGAAACATATTATTTCTGGAACAATACTGCACACACACAAGACTATTTTAATGTGAAAGTCCACTTCTGTTAGAAGGATACACAGGTAATATCTGTGTAATGTTTCTGTAGAGGATTACTATGACATTGGCAAATGTACTGTACATAAGAGATAAGATAAGATCACTTTATTGGCCATATTCTTGCATAAGGAATTAATCTTTTCGCATGAGACACACAGAAAGGGAGAGAAGCTGGGGGTCAGAGCGCAGGGTCAGCCATTTATACGGCACCCCTGGAGCAGTTGGGGTTAAGGGCCTTGCTCAGGGGCC